TGTTTTCTAATCAACAGAGTCACGTGTAAATAAAAGATATGTTTGTTATTTGGAAATCAACGAATCTACACGTGTCAGTGCTAGATCAAACATTTCAACCTTTGGTGATATACGTGAATATAACTGTCAACATTTTGATCAAACAACAGGAACATTTGTATCACCACATGATGGTTTATATCTTGTCAGTTTAACTCTATATAAAAGTAAAGATAAAATTATTGTAGTTGGTGTGCGGATTGGAGAGAGGCCGTGTTCGTTTACTATACGAGTAAGCTCTGCTGATATTAACGCTGCTGGGTCAGTGGTTGTTGACGTGAAGGAGGGGGAAGAACTTTACTTTGAAGTAATCGGAGCAGATCAAGACGCAGTGTTATCCTGGTTCAGTAGTTTCACTATCGTTAGTTTATAGAAGAACAACACAAAACAGGATGGGCAATACATTTTTAAAACACTAAAATATGTAACCACTATGTTAAACACACGCTAACAACCTACTATGTGTGTAGACTACATGTCTAGAAAAACTTGAATAGTTTGTGTGTTATTTGTTTAGTCGTCATTACACTGTTCCATCTAATGCAATGTGATCACCAATTAATATGTTCTACTTGACTACATAAAACATATAAGATAATTCTCATATATTTTATTTTTTTGTATATGAGCACTGAGTGTAACGTTGGGTGTGTTAAACATATAACATTGTTTTGCTAAATAAAAATTAAATTAAATTCCGTATTTTTCAAACAAACTCAATGAACTATATAAAAGACAAATGTTTAATTAAGTTCACTGGACATCAATATGTATCTGATATATTTAAATAATGATCCATGCTATGCAATTGTAAATAAATTGAAATATACTGCAATTAAATCTTATTGTAATTCAATGTAAAAAACAAACAACTACCTGTATTGTCTTTCTATTGAGTAACATTGTATTTGTAAATTAGCAACTACTCTAACAAACACAATAGGCCACACATGTTTGTACATTATAGATATTCAAACAGTTCTGTTTATACGTATATATATATGTATGATTATGTGTATATATATATATATATATATATATATATATATATATATATATATATATATATATATATATATATATATATATATATATATATACATATATATATATATATATATATATATATATATATATATATATATATATATATATATATATATATATGTGTGTGTGTGTATGTGTGTGTGTGCATGCATGTTTAACTTAACCCAAACCTAACCCTGAACCTGAACCTGAATATAATCTTAATGCTAATCCTAATCCTTAAAGCATCATATTATTGAAAGAGATGAGGTTAATTTTCTGTCGACGTGCTAAAAGCGGAAAGGGATAAGGAAATATCGTGTGGGAAGCTTGACTATAACAACTTGTTAAATACTCCCGGTAATGTTCCACTTCCACAGGGTCTTAACCATTTGACACAATAGTTACTGTGTCTAGGGCGTACGAACCATAGGGTCTACACAAATTCAGAAAGCAAATAGTGAAAAAAACATTATCAATTTAAGAGATGTTGAGATTTTTTAACTCTTAAATTAATGCAACCATCACCATTTTATTGCAATATAAACATTACACAATCTAGTGTCGGGGGCACAGCCGCTGTTGCCTGTTGGGTTTACGAATGCCAAAAATGTCTGGCCCTACGAAGACAGTTAAATGGCCCTGCTGCCTACCCCCATTTATTAATTCGCACGTCAATTACCCCCCCTCCCCCCATGTACACATCCCCGCCCCAACCGTTACAGTAGGACATTACCCCCTAATCAATTACTCACCTCCCCCTCTCACATGTCAATTTGAAACGGAGATCCAGGTGGGGGGGATAGCAGAAAAGCAGCTTTGGAATCGATTACGTAGAGGTATAGTTTTAGCTATAGTTTTGAAGTGTTATATATATATATATATATATATATATATATATATATATATATATATATATATATATATATATACGAGAAAAATGGCCCGTTGAGGAAGGATACACCGGGCGCTAGGTTGATAGTGCTGTCTCTTTTCTCTAAACTAAAACCAACCCACCCCCCACACACACCACCCCCCCACCCCCACCCCCCCCCCATAACACCCCCCCACCCCCACCCCCACCCCCCAAAAAAACATGTCTACCGTCCCCTTCAACGAAATATAATTATATACTTTTTCCAGTGTACGCCCCCTCCCCGAAAATTCTACCCCAGCCCCCGAAAATTTCAAGTACCCCCACCCCTCTCCGGGGAGGAAAAAGTCTGAAGAAACACTGGTGTCGCGCTTAGCCACCACCCGAAGAATTGCATTAAAGAAATTGCAAGAAAACCACTTTTTAGATTAGACACATTAATTAGGCGGTAATTTTATTATAGAGTATCGATGAAGAAATTTCTTTTGAGTTAGGGAGGGGGGGGGGGCTCAGACGTTCTTACGCGGGGGTGGGGCTTCGCCCCTACCCGAAGAATTGTATGAAAGAAACTCTTCACGCAAACCACTTAGATTAGACAAAATTTCCTTGTTATTCAATGTTTACTCGATAATCAATGACGTCATATTACTGTGTGCACTCTCCGGCTTGAGATGCTAAATGTGTCGACGTCATACTTCGTTTTTCGAATTACTATGCATGTTTTTATTTTCCTTGTGTTTTCTCTAGAGCATTCTTGTCAGATAGATAGATAGATAGATAGACATACAGCGAAAAAATTAGTATTAATATATATATATATATATATATATATATATATATATATATATATATATATATATATATATATATATATATATATATATATATATACATGTATTGCTCCTTTTTCTCGACTTGCCGCCCCTAACCAGAAAACCTCTATTCGCCTCGGCTGGAAATATTGGTTTTTCATTAGAAGATAATAGGAAATACTTTCAATTTCTATAACATTGTTATAAATAGAATATACTTGAAATTGAATATTAATTCTTGTATGCTATTTATTCTAACTGCTTTTTGTTTGGAATAAGTAGTCCAAAAAAATGATAATTCGTCATATGATTAAAAAAAAGCAACATACAGTTTATTGTAACAAAATAATAACACAAATGTGTGTTTTTCGTATAAACATTTTATTTGTTTTTTTATGTTACATATTTAAGAGAATATAATATGTTTTTTATTGTGTAAATGTCTGTGTTTATTTTCTTGTAAAACAATGCAAATACCTTAAGTTTAATTTTACAAATTAGTATAAAACCTAATACATATAATATTATTATAAAAAAAATAAAGTTCCAATAATTTAAAGTTATTCAATGCAAGAAAAAAAAAACCTTGTTTTAATTCAAGTCACTTGAATGTTAAGCGTTTAAAATATACATAAGAAACATGGTGGTAAAAAAAATAGGTTAGTTTGATGATTTAGAAATGTTTTCTGCCCTGAGCCATCAGAGAGTTATAGTCAGGGGGTGGGGGCATGGTCTCTAGCTGGACACGGCTTGCCCAGACTTCATACGGGTAGACTTTTGGACTCGTTGGGCGCTTGGGACTTTTCAAGACGTATCTGTTAGCGATAGAATAACATGTCGCTGTAAATAGATCAACTGTTGTACTTGTAACTGTATGGTGTGGTATGGCTGTTGGTTTTGTTTACAATTATGAAGTATATATTACAATTCTATAGTACATGTTCAACCTCAAACATACTGTAGGCCTATTCTAGTAGCTAATTGATTGCAGCGATAAATATGCAGCAACATACACATACTGACTTATCTAAGGTGCGCTAGAGTACACATACATTCTAATATTTACCTTTTGATGAGGATGAAGCAAACTACAAGAAGGGCACCAAAAGCTACCAGACCAAGCGTCAGACCAACGATCATCCCAATGTTGGAGTCTTTCTCTTTTACTAACCAAAGGTAGAATAGATTCAGTGGCGTAGCGAGGTCGGGTGATACCCGGTGTGGCACTTAATGGTGTCACCCCCCAGGGGCGTAGCGACCCTTCCCGGGGACAAACTTTGAATTTTCGATTTGCACCCCCCTCAAACTTTCGGGTTGCACCCCCCCCCCCCCTCAAACTTTCGATTTGTACCCCCCCCCTCAAATTTTTCTCTATATATTTTGCTATTTTTTTTTGCCTTGATGTCACCCCTCTAAATTGTGTCACCCGGTGCGGTCCGCACCCCCCGCCCGCCCTCCCTCGCTACGCCTCTGAATAGATTAACTATTTCCATGTCTTTTGCAGCTTCTAGAGTCTAGAGTAACGTCGTAATTTTCTTTAACTAAACACGAGTAGAATGGATTAGATATGTTTATGTCATTTGTAGCATCTAGAGTCTAGAGCAACTTTATACTTCCTCTTTAAATAAACAATACAAGAATAAATCAGATGTTGTCTTGTTGCTGGTAGCTTCTAATGGAACAAAGTTAGCCACTAGCAGGACATACACTAAGCTTTATAAACTTTACGTTTTAACATATTACTATGTACATTAAAAACAATGAGTTTCGTGGTGAATTATACAAATATTTCAACCACAATCATAATCTCATTGTTATGCCTCTCTCAATACATCAAGCAAGGGTATTGATTATTGTTATACGCACTTATGTTTCTTAAAATGTACACTAGTTTCTTATAAACTTCTTTATACAATGCGAGTGGATTTCCCTCAACACAGTAAAGTGTTCCTTATGCGTAATTGGGCCCATTAACTTCGGCTTGCATTTCTGTATAAATTTGCTTCCGTATTTTTCATCTGCCCAACAGCAACCTGCTAGACAGTCGCTGTTCGATTGTAAAGTCTAGCTTACTTATCCCAAGCTAACGAGCCTAATTCGCCTCTTGGGTCTGAACTCTGGACTTATGGAGTTGGCGATGATACGCTCTCCAGCCCTACCACACGTCCTCGTGTGTGAAGGAAAGAACACTTTTTGGTTGGCTGTGAGGATACACTTGTGTGTAATCATACTGTGTATACATGTTTTAGTGTTACCTGAGTCTGGATTGTATTGACACGAGTCCCAGTAACCCAGCTCCATAGGGTAGTACATGCAGGGGTTGGTGACACACTGGGTCACTGACTGAGCTCCCTTACCCGCAGTTGTCGTTCCCTGAGAATTAAGTGTATTAGCTAATTGTAAGCACAAATGTAAGGATCGGTATGGATTAATCATTAGAATAAGATCAGTGTGACAACAAGGGAGCGATTCCAAGATTAGATCATGTTAAGTAAAAAGTAAAGTTTCTTTTCGAACCTGACGGTCCATGGGGAAAGGGAAGTAGAGTTGACCTATTTCTGTGACCAAACCATATGAAGGAACAGTGTGGTCAGCACTATGCTCAGCCACCTTTAATTTCAATAACATTAATTAGGTTCCAATCAGTTAGGTGGTCTCAGTAACGTTCTACTGAATTGAACGCAGATTCGAACTCGAGACATTCAGGTTAACAGCGTATAGCTCTATAGCTAGGTCAGCAATTTTATTCTATGTGTCGTGATACTTGACAAGTTTTGCTGAAATATTAACTCCGGTATTTAACGAGATCAAAAAATGTTTGTGTTTAGATTTTACCTCTGGGACATGTGATGCAAAAAGTTGCTTGTTCACTGTCTTGATATGTCCCCACCTCACACTTGGTGCACACCTTACCGCTCTCGTAGAAGCCAGGTGCGCAGTTCACTAAGACATGTAGGACCAGGTCAAGTTATTTTATACGTATACGATTATAATAAAAACAACATGCAATATTTACAGTAAGATACCATTAACGTCTCCAGTTTACTAGCGTAACCATTTAGTAGTTAGACAAATATAAACGCAAAAAACTACATGTAAACACACAAAGCTACTAAAATGGGACATACATGCATACAAAACTTTACAGACCAGAGTGAGACAATCTGACATACAATATTACCGTCAGATCACATGTTCAAAGTGCACATAGTAAAACATATTAAATTAAAAATATATTGACTAGTATATACGTTTACTACAAAGAACAAATGCAATGATTACCCTGAAAAATCACTTACAAAAAAGAAACGAACTACATATTATATACACCTACCACACAGACCACATATACTCATATATAACCATCTACCATAGAGAGCACATACATCCACATATAATCACCTACCACATATACCCACATATACCCACATACCACATACACACATATATCACCACCTACCTCACAGACCACATATAACCATTACCACATATACGTACATATAACCACTACCACATATACGTACATATAACCACTACCAGATATACATACATATAACCACATACCACATATACCCACATATAACCACCTACCACACAGACCACAAATAACCACCACCACACAGAACAAATATAACCACCAACCACATAAACCATATTTACCCTCATATAGCCACTACACATAAACCCACATATAACCACCTACCACACCGACCACATATAATCACTACCACATAAACCCACTACCACATATACCCACATATAACCACCAACACACAGACCACATATACCTACATATAACCACCTACAACATACACCCACATATAACCACCTACCATATACACGCACATATAACCACTACCACACAAACCACATATAACCACCTACCACATAAACCACATTTACGAACATATAACCACCTACCACATAAACCACCTTTACCCACATATAACCATTACCACATTTACCCACATATAACCACTACCACACAAACCACATATAACTACCTACCACATACACTTACATATAACCACCTACCACATAAACCACATTTACGAACATATAACCACCTACCACATAAACCACCTTTACCCACATATAACCATTACCACATTTACCCACATATAACCACCTACCACACTGACCACATATAACCACCTACCACACTGACCACATATAACCACCTACCACACAAACCACCCATAACCTGAGAACCGGGCGGACACCTCTCCAACACAGCCACTGTAGGCGGCATCACCGCCGTGTACTCCATCCTGGCTACAACAACTTTAAAAATATTCTCGCTGTTGTTGTACATTGTTTGGGCAACTTCCTCGAACTCCATCGTTCTGTTCTCAACTATCTCAATTTGTTCATCTAAAGACACAGAAAGTTTACAACTATTTCAATTTGTACATCTACAGACACAGAAAGTTTACAACAATCTCAATTTGTACATCTACAGACACAGAAAGTTTACAACAATCTCAATTTGTTCATCTATCGACACAGAAAGTTTACAACAATCTCAATTTGTTCATCTATCGACACAGAAAGTTTACAACAATCTCAATTTGTTCATCTATCGACACAGAAAGTTTACAACAATCTCAATTTGTTCATCTATCGACACAGAAAGTTTACAACAATCTCAATTTGTTGATCTACCGACACAGAAAGTTTACAACTATCTCAATTTGTTGATCTACAGACACAGAAAGTTTACAACAATCTCAATTTGTTCATCTACCGACACAGAAAGTTTACAACTATCTCAATTTGTACATCTACAGACACAGAAAGTTTACAACAATCTCAATTTGTTCATCTATCGACACAGAAAGTTTACAACAATCTCAATTTGTTCATCTATCGACACAGAAAGTTTACAACTATCTCAATTTGTACATCTACAGACACAGAAAGTTTACAACAATCTCAATTTGTACATCTACAGACACAGAAAGTTTACAACAATCTCAATTTGTTCATCTACAGACACAGAACGTTTACAACAATCTCAATGTGTTGATCTACCGACACAGAAAGTTTACAACAATCTCAATTTGTTCATCTACAGACACAGAACGTTTACAACAAATTTAAAAGGAAAAAAACTACATTCAATTTGACCATTTAAATAAGCGTGTTGTTGAAATCCTACAGTTGTAGAGAATTAGATGTAAGATGGTACATCTTACCAGTCTTACCAGTAGCGGTTTCAGGATCAAAGTTTGGTGTCGTCACGTTCATTATGATGGTCGCCAATGTAGAGGCTGTTAGAAAAGAAATCGTCAGTTTTATTGTCAATTCAAAGTTACTGTAGTAGTCTATGTACCAGTTAGTTGCGTATTTGTTTATTTTAGTTAGGCACTCATTTTGAAAGCTTCTACAGTAGGCTATACACGAAAATTATGTATGATACGTTTTGTCTGCAAAATTACATATAAGAATTTGAGTTTTTGTTTTGCAAGGCAAAATATTGTTTCTATAAGAATAATAGCCAGTATAAAAGTCAGTATAATAGCCAATATAGCAGCCAGTATAAGAGCCAGTATAACAGTCAGTATAACAGTATAACAGTCAGTATAACAGTATATCAGTCAGTATAACATTTAGTATATCAATCAGTATATCAGTCAGTACAACAGTATAACAGTCAATATCACAGTCAGTATAACAGCCAGTATAGCAGTCAGTATAACAGTTAGTATATCAATCAGTATACCAGTCAGTACAACATTATAGCAGTCAGTATAACAGTTATGCACTAAATTTTAAGTTTTACAATCCAACAACCATGTTGAGAGATTAGGAATTTTCTATTTTTAAAATTTTATACAGCAAATGTGATTTTTAAAGAGTGTATGTAATACTAAGTACATGTTTTGATGCATAAAATATGTTGATCCTGTGATCACATAACAATTGTTATAGCCTGACGTCATAAAACTCCTGCAGAACTTTTCATTGAGCTGCGCCGTCTTGTGATTAGAGTATAGTTGCAAGTTTTACACACGGAATAAAAACTATTACTAGTTGACCTTTTCATTAAGCTATGTTGTGATGTGATTACGGTATAGTTGCAAGAGTTGCACACATTGACCAAAAGACTTACCAGTATACCTTTTCATTGAGCGAGGTTGTGTTGTGACCACGGTATAGTTGCAAGAATTGCACAAATTAAAAAAAAAACACTTACCAGTAGACCTTTTCATTGAGCGAGGTTGTGTTGTGACCACGGTATAGTTGCAAGAGTTGCACACATTAAACAACTGGGCCTGTACGTTGGACTGGATCTGAGCCTTCATTAGCTCTGTATCACCTACTGGACCAGGGTACTCAACCTGAACTTTGAAACTCCTTTCTTCCACGGTTTTGAACTCTAAAATGAATTAAAAATTATTGTTAAAGTATTTCACATCCTGAAGTCAGATTATGAGATCAATACCTTTTTTTTTAAATAGCTTAAATTTCTCATTTTGTTGAAATGCATGAATATATTTGTGGTAACATAGGATACAAATACAAAAATAAATAGAAATGTATAATAGTAAGACTAAACGTAATATTTAGTTGCAGAAAAAAATGTAATTTAGAAAGCTTCTTATTCGTGAACTATATTAGAAGTTACTTATAAATAAATAAATAAATAAATAAATAAATAAATAAATAAATATATATATAAATAAATAAATAAATAAATAAATATATATATATATATATATATATATATATATATATATATATATATATATATATATATATATATATATATATATATATATATATGTATATATATATATATATATATATATATATATATATATGTTATACACAAATGAACAGTGACCCTAAGTGACCCACTTGTACAGTCGTATATCAGACCACGTGGGTTGTCCTTGTTGATATGGGACCAGGTGTAGTTGCTGAGCATCCCACAGGTGTAGCTGATATCGTCGTCTGCTGTGTAGCCTCTCTCACACTCGACTGTACATTCGTGCATGTCCAACGTTTCGTTAAAGGTGCAGGTGATGTCTTTAATGTGACGAACACTGTGATCTTCTTTGCGTAGTGGGCGACACTCTGGAATTAAGTTTATGACAATATATTTTGACAAGGATCTAGAATAATCTAGATAATTGATGACATTATGTATATCATAACTCAATTTCATTTATCTTTTATTCTGTTATGTTATTTGGATTTAAATTTCAAAAAATCTTCTTAGGTTGCTTTTGGTGTTTTACTTTTATTATATTGATGGATATAATTGAATTATGCCTATTGAAAACATCAACTTACA